CCTCCTGCGCATGTGGCCCAGGCTGAAATATCATGACAATATGACCTGCATTCTGCGCCTCACTGGATGCACGCGCCCACACATATGTTTTCCCCAGACCACTGCCCAGCTCTGAGCGCATGATGGTTCCGTTCCTGCACACCCGAGCCCATACAGCATGACACTTGCCTGAAGCTTGGACATGTACGGTCTTCCATGGGGCGACCTCCACAGACACCCGAATACTGGCCGCCTCTGGCCACGGGAGTCTATTGATATCATCACTCGCAAGGGCTAGATTAGATAACAGCGACCGTCTGAGTGCCAACAATTTCTGTCTTGGAGTACCTTTCTTGAAATAGATTCTCAGACGCCCATATCCGAAGTACTCCCTACCCGAGTTCGCGTTCGTCGTCGCCTCCTCGTCGATACAGTTGCACCACCCTCCAGACTGAATGATGCGTTGTTTAATTGAGTTGAGCAGGGTCGTCAGGACATCCTGGGCCATCATCTGACGGGATCTCAACCCACGGTTGTTCCAATCAGTAACCCACCCCTTGCACTCAACAAAGCTTGGCCCCCACTGAAAGTTGAAACGCCCTGGAGCTGTGCCTGACCCCTGGTTTGAAGCCGCTGGCGCTCTAGTGGGCGTCTCTGATGCCGCCCCGCCGCTGCCAACAATATGATTCAGAAACTTAGTCTCCAAATCAGCTTGCCTACGTGAGAGAGCCTGCATATCCTGATTGAAAGATTTGTAAACGGCATCCACCTTACTGTCGACTGCTGTAATTGCCGTTTTGACCGTCTCGATTTTCCCGTCAACCGCTGTGAGAACGGCCGCCGTCACACTCTGCGTTTGTTGTGCCATCATTCTCTGAAGCTCACTCAACAGATTTGCTGATCCCGACTGCTCCTCCTCCCTCATCCGTTTCCGTTCAGTCCCAGTCTCTGCCATCGCCACATCACTCGACCCCGCCATTGCAACTGCTGGTGGGTAACCGAAATCACTCGAGTCAACGCTCGGAGGCAGCCTCCAACTTTCCCACGAAGGGCTGGGTTGTGAATCCCACGCCGTGATGGGCGTGCACACTGAAACAGGCAATGAAACGTGTACTCTGACAATCAAGAAATACGAACTCCAAACAGTCAATGAGAGTGTACTCCGACAGTTAGTGGATGTGTACTCCCACCGTCAATGAAGTGTACTCCGACAACCAATGAGTATGTACTCCCACAATCAATGAGTGCGTACTCCGACAATCAATGAAGCGTGTATTGCAACAGTCAATGAAGTGCGTACTCCAACAAACAATGAAAGAATACTATGCGCAGCCTCTCAATGATGATGTACTCCGGCAATCAATGAATGTGTACTCCGACCAACGAAGACAAACTCCGACAATCAATGATGTGTACTCCGACAAACAATGAACGTGCACACCGTCAATCAATGAAGCGTGTACTCTGACAATCAATGAAGTGTGTACCGAATGAATCAAAGAAGCCTAGGCCCCCCGACATGATGGGTCTCTCGGTGGGGTACTCTGACAATCAATGAATCTGCTCGCCGACAATCAATGAGCACGTGCGATACACAGGCCGTGTACGGTAATGAATGGGAACCGAGCCGGCGGTAAACCGTCAACCAGGTTACCGCCGGGACCCTCGTAGAGCTCTTCAAAATAAGTGCCTACATAATAAGGAGGAAACTTCCTCGACTTCAGCGAAACTTGTAAACGTTATTTTTGGGGTTTCAAAGAAAACCAGTTTCGCCGCGTGTTTCAAAAGTAATACTGCAGCTACGGACCTAAGAATTCAACAGGCAGATACGGCATGACCCACTACAGGTCCGACGGATACCGCTTCTCAAAAAGAATGGTCGAATCTAGCACGATCTTGGAAAAAAACCGACGCGAGATTGTCACATGTATGTTTTGGGTGTTATACGATGTCGGTTCCTCCACGTCTTCTGACAGCTACATTGCAGCTACAGATCTGAGAATTCGACAGCCAGAGACCCAGCTCCAGCAGCAGACCGAGTTCAGACCTCTGGATGCAACAGACGAACGCGCCTGATAATTCTGAATCTGTCTCTGTAAGTATCAGCTTCGTAGCTCTCCTAGAGCTCGAGTTATGTACAGAAAACCGTCACCGCGTGTCAAGATGACACGAAACGGCCGATCCCGCCTGTGTGCTTCTTGGCAATATATATATATATATATATATATATATATATATATATACCCGATCGACCTGATATTAAGATGGCAAGCGGGAATAAGATCAAATATCATGAAAAAAAATACTAGGAGCTCAAACGAATACAAAATTCCCAGCAGCAAAAGTCACCAGGGTCCGTCGAGATTTTCCTTGACAACAAGCTCTCCACCGCCCCGGAAATAATTTTAAGCTTCCAGCAACTAGCTAAACGAGCTCTTCGAGTTACTCCCTCCAGAGAGCTGAGCTGCTTGCAGAAGTAAGTTTAGATACTAATGCTCGGAGTAAAAATCTGCTTTCTCAAAATAAACTGTCAAATATTTTTCAAAAAACAGCAAAACCGACCCAAAGTCGTCACATATTCTTTTCTGGTCGGGTCAACCAACTGGCGCCGGCGGTAAGCCGTCAACCTTTCTTTTTTTCTGCCTTTTGCGATCTGTCTAACGGCTGCCAAAAGCAGCCACAGGTCGTTTCTCAAGCCTAACCCTACGGGCGAAGTTACGGGTTACACTAAAGATGGCCTCGCAGAGGCTCGATAAAGCTTCGAATTCAGCGTTCATGGCAGAATTTTTTGGGGGAAGGCCAAACGCCTTCGATTTGATCAGCACCCATTGTGGTCTATCCAGAAAGGCAAAGCTCCCATATATTGAATGAGATGCCGATGCTTTGATCAATCCCTCCAGCCACCAGCCTGCTCCTGCTTTACCGTTATCGACTCCACCGTCGAAAGCGCCCCGAAGGGCATAAAGGTCATACTCCTGCAGCTCGTGTGTCCTATCATACTCTATATCTCTGACGCGTGCAATGTGAGTTAATTCATCCACCCGCTGATTTCCCTCCCGATTGACATGCTTACCTATGTCTCCTCCGACCGTGGCTCCGACAACGTTAAACTCTTCATGCAACTCGTGAAACTCATGTTGTATTTCGGCAATCTGTCTGGCATATGTTCGGTTTTGGATCTTCCACTCCCCGTTTAACCACTTGATCGTGGCCATGTTATCTCCCTGGATCTCCACTGGCAAACCTCGTGCAAGCCCCTGTTCGTACTCCCACCAGTCCGTCATCGTCGCGAAAACATGTGCGAGCCTCTTGGCCTGCTTTGTATTCGCCGCCCGTGTTGGTGCCTCCCCCTCCTCCTCCCATGTGTTTGGTCCCACACGCTTTTCCCTTTCCTGCTTAAAGTGTCGATCAAATGCAAGTCCAGTCCTTTGTTTGATATGCTCAATCCATGCTTTCCGCGTCCCCTCATCATGTGTCAAGTGTTTCCAATACTCATCTCCCCGAAAACTTTCAAATGTCGCATGCCACGATGTCTGACCTATTGCCTGGCAATCAATCCTCCGACGTTTTTCTGACACTTCTGGGCTCTTCCAGCTTTTACTCAACAACCCGATCGCTTCATTGTACAAGTCCCGTCTCTCCGTCCAACGTTTCATACCATGGAACATCGCCAACCTTGCTGTCATAAAACTGCGGCACACACTTGTTGATTCACGCCAAGCTCCAGAATTCTGTTGAATGCAAGCAGCACCTGTCGCAATGTCCGCCGTCTTCAAGAAAGAGCAACAATCCTTATTCCACTCCCATTGTTTCTGCAAGTACAACTCTACAAGGCTGGCGTGTTTTTCCCGAAACTCCCCCCTGGCAAAGTTATATGCTCTGACATTGAAGCTGAACCATGTTTCATTGGCCTTTTTTTCCGCACTCCAACTATTTTTATCCAACAACGTCCCTCAAACTTGTGAATATCTTGCAATGCCGATTTGTCGATGCTCGATCCTTCAACACTGTACAAGAAAGTGCTCTGTACTTTGCTCACATACTTATCTCATTTCACCGTCCACGGCACCGACCGACACCGATACAAACTGATGTCTTGAGAGAACGCATGCTGAGCTTTCTGAACCCGATACTGCACGTCCAAGTGTGTCCTCATTCGAGTGTGTAGCCAAACACCCAAGAAGGTAATCTCCTGCACTCGCGGATCGAAGAGTGTCTCCACCAAATCGGTGGACGAGACCGCACCCGCATTCTGAGACAAGGCCAGATCGGTCATCGGTTGAACAGCACCCGCATTCTCAGACAATTCGTGCACACTGCAAGCTGAGGCAACAGGCTGCACACTACAAGCTGAGACAACAGGCACTCTTATCGACGACGACGATGACACACGAGTATGAAGGGATGGCGTTGGCGCTGTCAAATGAGAAAGAACAACAGGCACTCTTATCGACGACGACGATGGCACACGAGTATGAACAACTGGCATTGGCGTTGGCAAATGTGCGTGAGGAAATGTCGTTGGCGCTGTCAAAGGCGAATGGGGAGCTGGCATGTTTCTGTTCAGCGTAGCTGTCTGATATGTCTGTTCAGCGCAGCTGTCGGATATCTTGCTCAGCGTAGCTGTCGGATATGTCGAATGAAGAAGTGATGTCGGTGCTGGCAAATGTGAATGAAGAAGTGATGTTGGCGCTGGCAAATACGAATGAGGAAGTGGTGTTGGCCCTGTCAATGAAGTTACTCTCGCAGCTGGTTCAAAAAATGATCGCTGTTCTCTGTCTTTTCGCAGCTGGTTCAAAAGATTTGATCGGGATTTGAACTTCCAACGGATCTGCATCAAAGTCTATCCCAAACGTCGCTAACTCAACCGAACTGGGTTTCCATTCGAAACCCCGTTCACGCATGGATATCGTAAGTTCCTTCATCATCGTGGAAACCATCTTCTTTCCCTCCTGTCCATCGCCTTGGGCGAAGATGAAAAAGTTACCCGCCCATATCGCATGATTGAGAGTCTGGTGTACCTCTATCTCCTGGGAGCCCTCGCTAGTGCGAGAGCTGGCTCCAACTTTAGCCTCGATCGAATCTGCGTACGCTCTCGGTCTCTCGGTGTTGTAGCCGAGGCCCCTCTCTTTCCACGAGTGCACTGTCGGGCCAATCATCGCAATCGTGACTAGCACAAACAAGATGGGGCTCTCAACACCTCCCGTCCTAGCACAGGTGTCCCACGGCACTGTTTCGCACCATACACTGGGAACTGACGGTAAACCGTCAACCAGATTACCGCTGGGCACCTTGTAGAGCTCTTTTCTTGCACAGCGCTCCTCGGAACATCTTGGTGTCCACTTGGTTGGGTGTTGGGGTCGGCTACACAGGGCGCGTGCGCCCTAGCCGCGCAGAGTCCCTAGGGTCCCTCACGCCCTCTCAACCTCTTTGGGGTTGGAGGCCCGAGGATCTCAGAGATAATCTGCCGAACACCTTGGAGCAGGCGTTCACAAGCTGTGAGCTCGCTATCTGTAACAGTGGCCCCCAGAAGGGAGTAAAGAAGCCTCCTGGAAAACTCGTCGCCAGCGGTTGTCCCCAAATGAGACCTCCACATAGCAACCTAGAGCAGAGCCTTCAACACTCACGCCACCGTCCCATCCTCCACGGATACGTTTGATACAATGTCTCTGTTGTCGTAAATATCTGAAGTCAATCCATCTTCCCGTCCTTCCCCTCCTCGCCTCCCAAGTCAACTCATCCGCAACACAATTGAACTCTCTGTAGATATGCTTCCACGGATCCGCCCCTACAGTGGCACACCTGATGTCGTAATCCTCCGCCAGTTGATTCATATCGTTTTGTAGACCGTGCACTCTCCTGCGGTACGAACGATCACGGCATTCCCAGATCCCTCGGGCCCAGTTCACCACACACATACTATCACCAGTCATTTCAACCAACAGTGAGCTCTCCAAGCCCTCCTGCCAGACAGTTTCGTTGTTATATCCGTGGGCAATCCTACGAGCGAGCCTGTCGGAGTCCTCAGGGGAGTCCCACGTATCCACAGGGCAAGGAGCACAGGGCGGTTTCCTGAAGATGGGCTCCCATCGAGGCTGTATTTTTGTCATGCACGCAACTACATTCCACCAGTCCGTCGCATTCCACTTGATGCTGAACCAACGTAAATTACCACTCGCCGCCAGCATAAGACAATGCCAGCTGTCAGTGCTTGCATGCGCTCTCCCTCCCACTCTCCTCGTACCTTCCCTCCTCCTGGCTCCCGTGAACATGGATACAAGTGTGTCCCTCCGTAGTGACCATTCCCCCGCACAGTGTAACATGGCCTGCAGCGTCTGACGCCAGGCTCGTGCCCCACGCAAGTCCGTGGAGGCGAAGGCCCGATCATGAAACTGGGCCAGCTCCAACGCAAACTCGAAATTGGCTCGGACCACCCTCTCTAGGAGACTGCAGTGGCCAGCCTGCAAGAATAGCTCGTATGACTTCGGTGTGGTCCTGTCCCTGAACTCCTCCCACGTCTCCTCCTCCCTCTTGTGTAATCCTCGCATACCGTTGAGACACCTCCCCTCCCAGACCTTAATCCTCTCCAGCAGTCGTAGATTGCACGGCCAGCCTATACATCCGTGGTACACCACAGACTGCACACGAGCGGCATACCTGCGAAACTTCTCTTTGAGTGAGACCGATCTGGAGCGATAAAACTGGATGTCGGCAAAATAGGCCTTCCTCCCTTTCTCCAGTCGATGATACAAGCCGTGATATCCCTTGATTTCCGAGCTGAGCTTCACTCCTAGTACCTCCACCTCCTCCTTCCTCGGCATAACGACAGTAGAGCGCAAGTGCTCTGGGAGATCCTCATCTCCAGAAATCGCACAGATGGCTGGCGAGAGCGGGCAGAGCAGCGGCGGATCGCCACCTGTGTACGTCTGGCCAAAAAGTACATACGCCAAAGAGTCCTCCTTCCAGTCCATCCCAGCCCGTCTGAGTGTTACCGTCATCATACCGATCATCTGTTGTAGCTGGAGCTGCGATGCAGCACAGAGCGCAACATTGTCCGCCCACAAGAAGTGGTGTACAAGAGCACCGTCCGTCCCCTCCCCTTCCAGTCGGACACCGTATCCTAAGGTATCCCAAGTCTGAATCACAGATCCCCAGATGGCCTCCAAGACAATATTGAAAAGTATGGGTCCCTCCTTACCTCCCGTTCGGACCGATTTGTTGTATCTCACCTCATCGCCGCACACGTTCTGAAACTCAAAGGTAGCAATGTTATCCAGCATGGGCTCCACAATGGCTCTGATGAGGCACACAGGGTACTTAAGGTACAGCATGGCCTTGATGATAGTGTGCAGTGTGACATTATCGAAAGCTTTGTGAATGTCCAAGACTCCCACGTGCATAGACTCCGCCTTCCCCCACACATTTGCATGTCTAGTAAGATGTGATAGTGGTGCTGTGACGTTAGTAACCTTCTGATCCTTTTCAAATCCGTATGTGCACAACCGTCGGTTCACAGGAAATACATCAATAAACTGCAACACACATGCCATGTACCATTTACTCATCACACTGATCAGGCAAATCCCTCTGGTGTTGGAGAGTCGTGTAGCATCCCTCATCTTCGGCACAAGTTGGATACTGAGCTGCCTCCACGTCTCAGGGCTGGAGGCTCCCTGCTCGAAAATCCTCTGGAAAGCACGCCGCACAAACAAGAGGCTCCTCCACGGCAACTCACGAATGACCTCCGCAACGACTCCATCGCTGCCGGGTGCCGTGCCAGGCTTCAAAGACGCACGAGCCTGCATGAGCATGCCCATCGTGATGACTCTTCCCTCCACCCCACGGTCGTTGTGTCTGAGTTCCTGAAAGGCCTCCAAAGTCCGTTTTTCCTCCTCCGAGTTCGTGTAAGACGCCGTCGCATACCTAGTGATCTCCGTACTCCACCTAGTCCTGTCCATTGTCAGCACACCCTCACACTCCAGCTCCTTGAGGATACACCGTGAGGTCTTACTGGATCCCCTGTGGTCCTGCAGGAGTTGGTTCCTCCTATGCTGTCTCCTAAGGGTCTTCCTCCTACGCAGCAGTTGTTTACGAGTATTCCCAAGGGCCCCACGCCTGATGGCAGACTCCACCTCAATGAGCTCCCTGGGCCTCTGAATAGGTTTGCAGTTGGGGCGCCCCTTAGTGTGGTCCACAAGCTTTGCCGTCTCCAAGAGTACCCGTCCGACCTGCTGCAGGTCCGTCCCTACCGTGTCCGATGCAAGTCCCTCAATCGACACATCCGCAAGCACACGAAACATGTTCCTCGCCGTGTCGTCCGTCGGCTGCCAGCCAACCATGGACACAGGGCGGGGTGGCAAAGCTGGGCGCCTGATCTCCGTCGTCTTGAGATTTACCCAGACCAGAGCGTGATCACTATAGGCACTGGCTTTTGCACGTATACCTGGCGTAGCTTTGATGGGTTCCACAAACTGGACCTGGCATCTCATTTCCTGGTGAGCTCTTGCCTCATCCGCGCACCAATGTGTAGGGATGAGTATATAGTCAAGCACACGCTGCACATGTGTGGAACAGTACGGTATATGTGTGATACGTCGGTCTCCATATGTGTTCGCCGCACAGATCCCCCAAGTACTCATGAACCTCATCAGCATGTCCCTCCTTTCTGCATGATAGTTCGCCTCCTCCCTCCTCCCGTCCACCTGCATAAGACCTCCCCCCGTCATTCCCAGCATATCTGGTTCAAGTTCCGTCTGAGCATCCATCCCCACCCATGGTATGACTCCAGCCTGTGTCGTTTGAAACATAGTAGCACTGCACTTAGTAAGTACATCTAAATATTCCCCCAAGTGGTCCACATCACGCATCACACATGGTAGATACACTGATGTAGCTAGAGCACCCCTGAATTCAACACACGCAAATCGTACCCCACTCCGTCGAGCAATCACATGTGGTGCCCAATCCCTGCACCATGCAACCGCCGCCTTAGAGCAGGAGCTATAGTGAATCTCCCATCCACATCTGTTAAAAGTATTTGCACTGGTATGCTCACACTCTTGCAGGCACACCATTTGAATTGACCTGGCTTCACATGCAGCGACCAGGTTGGGTACTTGACCGTCGGATATTTTCTGCACATTCCAGGTTGCGACCACGGTCTCTGTCGCAGCCCTACCGCCCCGTCAATGATTCGGGCACCGTAGTGTCTGAAGAAACTGCACCTGATTAATATCGGGCTCAACGTGTGTCAAATTATCACCATAGAGGTTCCATCCTTTTGTCGGTCCCCATTATGCAATCAAAATCTTTTGTGTAGTATCATCAGCATTCGGCATATACCACATATATGTCATTGGCGGACCCGTCTCACCTCGAAGAATAGCCGTCGCATTTTTCTTGATATCAGAAAATAGTGCTTGAAACCGTCCTACCGCCCGAACATGTTCTATCTTCCATGGCTGGCATTCAACTTGAAATCGCACATTGGGAGGTAATGAAGTGAGTCCCCGCCTGTAGTCATTCTCCCACACACGTTTCGCTTCCCATAGGATCTCAGAGGATGCACCTGGCTTGAAATAGATCCTACCCCTCGTGTACGGCCAATATCTACCAGTATTCTCCTGAACCGTCCGATCCAAGTCCAGTGCCACCCTCTGTGTAGCATCAATTTGTTTAGAGTCAATGAGGCCATTCATCGCCGTCGTCAGTGCCTCCTGTGACAGAGCCTCCCGCTGACGTATCTCACGGTTCCTCCATCCCTCCCTTGAAACCCACCCTTTGAACTCAACATAACGTGGATTCCAACCAGGATCGTGCCTGTCCGTACCCGCCTTCGTGGATCCACTTGCTACCGACAGCCCGTCCCCCTGCTTGAGCTTCTGAACTTCATTGGTGAGGTCCTGGATCGCCGATTCTGTTTTTGATACCCTGGAGTCCAGAGATGTTTTCAGACCGTCCATTTCCGTACGAATAGAGTTCCTGAACGATTGCATGTCAGCCGTCATAGTCTGTTGTCCCGTCATGATGGATCGAAACATCTGTTCAATGTCAAGGCCTGCTTCCTGGGCAACCTCATTCGCACCCAACGTTTGCCCCGCACCTCCTCCTTCTCCTTTCCCTGCTCCTTTGACATTACGAGCACGGACAGCTCTAGCAAACGCCCCACCCCCATCATCAATTGTCATGTCCTGGCCCACC